TTTTTTTTTTCTTCTCCTTATTCCGTCCCTCCTATTCTTGTTTTTTAGGGAACGACCGGAAGAGCCCAGATGCTGGGACGGAAAGGAGTCAAAGCGCATCTCTTTTTGAAATACGAATCTTCTGTCGCTGCGTTGTGGCGACTTGGGTGGTAGGGGTCATCGACACACATCACATCCTCTCAATATATCTAAGAGAGCGATCACTTTGTAACACTACAGAAAACGAAGAAAAAATTACTTGGGGCCTACATCGGTTGAGCATGGTCGTGAGCGTCTATATAGAGACAAACCAAAGAAAGATTTACTCAAGGACGTTCCATGCACAGTATAAATGTTGAGACGGTGGAAATGATGTCACATGTCCTGGTTTAAATTAAAAGTAATATATGTTTAACTGGAGTATACGAAGATTAATATCGGAAGGGACGAGAGAAGAGGGACGATAGGTGACTCCGAGGGTTGTAATCTGTCAGGCAGTCATCTCGATGAAAAATGCCTGATTCATCGAAGCCTTCCTTGTCCTTAGTGCACCTGCATGCCTTCTTCTCAACTCCCACTGGCTCTCTAATCTGTCTACTGTTGAACAAACAAACGACTTGGCCTGACTCTCCCCCTTCCCGCGCATCAAAGTCGAACGAACGAGCGTATGTGTAGACGCTATTGGTGGAGGGTTATCGTCGTGATTGTTTACAGAAGAAGGCCGGCGACGAAGAGCAATGCGAAGCCGGCACCGAAACTGGCGCCTTGACGAACAGCGCCGCTAAACTCGGGAAGGCCGGATTCTACGGCACCACCAGGTGCGGGAATCGAAGGGACGGTGAAGTTGTTGTGAGGAGGCGCAGGTCCAGGAGTATCGACGGGGACGGGGATGATGGTGGCGGTCTCCTCGCTGTACACGGTCGTGGTAGGACCGTGACCTACATCGCCATGGTCCCCCTCATCCGGGCGCTCACCGTCAACTGGGTGCTCGCCCTTGTCACCCTCATGGTCGTCGTGGTCGTCATGGCCCGCAAGCGCGGAAGGCGAGGGGATAGAGACGGTATCGACGGTAGTGGGGACGGGAAGACCACCATCAAGGACGCGAGTGATGGTCGTTGTGAGGGTCTCAGTCGTGATGCTTCCATAAGGACAAGCGGTCGTGGGGACCGAAGGGGGGCAAGAGGTGACGGAGTGGATGCGCTTGATGGTCCGGGTGGACACGACGACGGGGCAGACGGTGGTGTAGAGCGGGACCGTCTCGGTCACGACATAACCCGGGTTTCCAGGGCCGGTGCCGGGGCAGTCGGGGACCGTGGGGGGGCAGCTGGTCACGGTGATGATGCGGGTGGTGTAGACGGTCGAGGGGATGAAGCGAGTAGTCGGTGGCAAAACGACATCCGGAGTGGTGGTCGGCGCGGGCACCACGTTCGAGGTCGCGGGCGGCTCAGGAGCCGAGCTGTTGGTGAAGTGGAAAGTCGGGAACGTCAGGGTCGGCACCTTGGAGGAGCTCGGGACGTCGACGGTAATCTCGCTGGCTGGGGCCGAGGTCTCAGTTGCAGAGACGGAAACATTGCTGGGGGGGAAGGTGGGGGAAGGCATCACGATGGGAGGCTCCGAGCTGCTGGGGATGGCAGAGACGGGAACATCGCTGGAGGAGACGATCGAGGAGGAAATGTCGCTGGAGGGGAACGCGGAAGACGGAACGGCGCTGGAGGAGCTAGGCTCTGCCGGAGGAGCTTGGGCAAAGACGCGAATGTCCTGAATCAGCCAGTAAACGTCCGCGAAATCGTACGGGTTGTTAGCGACGTAGTTGCTGCACACCTCTTCCTGGGTCTTGCCACTGCAGCTCTCGCCCCAGATGTGGCTCAGGCCAGCGGCGCCGCAGAAGTTGATGTTGAGACTGAGCCTCTGGTCGGCGAAGTGGCCGTCGATGTTGCAGAGGTCGTTGGCGACGAGGACGGAGGGGGTGCCCCAGAGCTGGGTGTCGGGTTCGTCGCTGTCGATGTCGAGAGGAGCGGCATCGTGGTGCCAGGAGAAGAACTTTATATAGTCGTCGGTCCACTACACCGCGTAGACGCCGCCGTTGGACGATCCCCAGGGGTCGGCCTGGGTTGCTTCGGTGGTGCAGCCATGGTTGTCCCAGAGACCGCCGAAGTTGTCGCAGTTGGCGTGGGTCACTGTCGAGGTCTGGCCCTCGTTGCCCAGATAGCATGTCCCGTTCTCCGATGCGCGGCCGGTGTGGATGACGGGTGTGTTGACAGTCTAAGCCCTTGTTCGTCAGTTTATCCAGGTCCAGTCAAGGGGAGGGGGAAGGAAGGAGAAAGGAAAGAGGGAATGAAGATAAAGATGAAAATGTAAGTGTAAGATGAACATGGATAGAGAGACGGGACTGTACCTGGTCGTTCCAACCTTCATACCAGTCGAGCTCGCCAGCCTTGGGCCAAGGGTCGCCCGTAGACCAGCTAGGATACGCCGTCCTTTTTGGCATACAACAAGCATATCAAGGTATAAGTAAAAATAAGAGGTGGCTGGGAAAGGGCTTGAATAGCTTACAAGGCAGGCCATGTACCGCAGACGGGCAATGAAGAGCCCCTTATTGTATGTGGCCTTGCTCTCCACCCTCACACTGCTGCGGCCCATACCGGGATACTCTGTGATGCTCATGTGGTCGACGCCCAAATAGACTTCCTCACCAACGGTCGCGATGAGGCCCAGAGCCTCTGCATCTGCCCGGTTGCGGTAATTGATGTAGCCCCAAGTAGGGTCCACATCGTTATAATCACCAGTACCATATCGGCTCTCGAAGAAGTTGAACTTGTCAAAGAAGTTCAGATGGTTGTACGTGTCCTCGAGGGTGTACTTGGTAGCCCTGACGTCGCCGACGAAGGCCAGAGCCGCGAGGGCGAGAGATGTAACGGAGGGGGCCATGATATTAAAGATAATATATGAGATATATCTATATAGGATACATATGGGATATATATGAGATGTATATGGGATGGGAATAAAAGATTGAGTTGAGTAAGTAGTAAGATCGAAAGATCGAAAACGAGTGTCTTGACGTAAGATAACGTCTCTGGACGAGCTTGAAGCTCAAGATGTGTCTCGCAGGAAGGCGATGTGCTTGATGACCTCACGGAAACGGCGTGAAAGTGAAGAGGAGAGAAAGGCAAGAAAGGGAGGGGAAGGGGGAAGGGGGAAGGAAGACATCACAAAGGAAGGAGGTCTTTAAAGGTTGTTTGTTACTTTGGCAAGTCTCTCTTTCCTCACTTCCTTCCCCCTTTAGACCTACCTACGAAGTACTTCGTTCAAGCCCACCATCATAAGGTACCTTACCTTAGTGATGAAAAGGGGGAGGGGCAGGGGGGAGTGACGAAGCGTTCCCCCGAAGGAGCACATGCCCAAGTCTTACCGGGTAAGGTACAACGTAGGTGCTTAGGGCTAGCATCCGGTGGTTCCGTTGACCTCTCTTCTTCCAACGTACATAATAGCCACGCGAGCCCAAAGGGCTGAAGCCGTTAAGGACTCTACCTAGGCTTTAGCGAGGCGGTCATTAGCGTCACCATCAGATACATGAGATATTTCCCATTGGTCTCACGGGGACACCACTGCACCAGAGGCTCAGGGCAGAATCGTTTTGGGAGAACTAACCGTCTAGACTAATAAAACAATGCGAGGACACAATAGCCTCTTCCCGTTTGGTATGTCAGATACAGACAGCCGGCCGGCCACGAGCTCGGTTGCGTCTGTAATCACCAATTCGGAATCCGCCATGACCCTCACGTCAGCAACGGTGCATCTACGAAGTACGAAGGGCCAAGAAGAACGAAGAGCATATATTCCGTAGGATAATTTCGTATAATTTCGTGCTTGAAGAAGCCTGTCCCACGACTGGACTGGCAATGGATGTTTTCGTAAGACCGTACGAAGGACGGAGGTACGAATATAATGATAAGCAGAGTGCTGTGCAGAAAACCAGCATGCCATGAATTCCGGTAACACGCGGATAATTACCCCTGTCCCCTGCCTAGCCGCGGCTTTACGTTGGACGTTGTAAGCGATCCGGATGCTTCGACCGAAATCCGTACTTTGGTTTGGACCTTGCAGCCGTACGTTGTACCTTGCAGAACACAGGTCAAGTTTTAGACCGTATGGGACCAGGAACAAGCTCATTCGATGGCCCGTCAGCTCGCCTTGCCCCTGGCTAAGGAAAGGTAATCCACTACCTATGTACATATGTACATATGGATTATCGGTGACCCAGATCGGTGGGTGGGCTGGCCATGAGGAGGAGCATGCAATACATATTCCCCTGGGATGAGGAATTTCATGAACGACACTGCATTGGTCCATCAGGCGGTTGTTCGCTGGTGTCGGTAGGGCTTAGTAATAATTGTGACATTCGTTTTAAAGATCAGCGTGGTGGGGATTTCGGGATCTTCCGCTCGTATTCTCTCCATTCATACGAACTATTTACGCTCTTCGGACACCGACCAATGCCGTTAATCCGTCAATACACTCCCTCTGCATAGCACGAAGTCCTTCGTATGTATGTGTAGATCAGGGCTCTACGGCTGGTAGTGACAGTCGTCCTTTTTTCCCGTTTTCCTTCTTCTTTTTGTTCCAGAAATTCGCCAAGTGAGACATCGACCCGAGACTCGCTTCAAGGCATACCTCCTCATTCAAGAAACGACATCCGTCATCGGGCTTATTATTATTATTTTATATATATAAAACATAAACAATCGGGCCAAGGATTGACATAATATGATGGAACGTCGATTCACTCGCGAACCGCCACCAAGGCTATGGACCTCAGGCAGCATATATTGTCGTGGGTATGAGGTTGCCTACCTAGAATAAGCATAAATACGCATGCCTGTCACAGTGTCGCTCTTCTGACGTTGAAATCATCTCGCGGCTTCTCTTCTCCTCTCTTTAAGTGGTGCGTAGAATCGCTCTCGGGGAACGGAGTTGTCTTCCGGTGTGTAATGTCCGGTTTCTCAGAACCCGCAAGTCCATGATAAACGACTCAATCCATATACCCCTGCCAACTAGCATCATCCATCTCAACAAGGTCCCGTCTAGCTGTCCGCCCATTTGTTGATATCAAGGCCTCGTTGAGCGCTGGGTGTGGCTCGAAGAGTTTCTTTGATGGGACAAGAAAATAAGACAAAAGTCTCTTCAGTCGTTGGTCGTCTGGGCGCATGTTATACGACAGTCTTCACGCCCGGACAAGCCATCCCCAATTGCTTCAAATCCAGTATGCGTATGTAGTTCGCAGCCAAAACTAGCGGTCCTGTCAGCGGGGAGCCTGGCATCACGGCGTCTCTAACCAGGGAAGAAAACAGAGGTGATATGCTTCATTTCAGTACGAGTTTGAGAAGATGTATTGGCGCGGTGTTTTTCAACGTCGCACCCCGGCAGGAAGTCAAGACAGAAGCCTCATCATTCCTTTCGAGATGCTCTGCTGGCCCCGCGTACGTCATCATTAAGAGGCAAAGAAGATGGGGAATGATGGTCCAGATCGTTAAAAAAATTAACAATAAAAGGGAAGAAAATGGGACACTAACCTGGAACAGAGCCACCCGGGACCCGCGACGACCAGATCGTGTACAACCCCCACATGATTTCATGTCTCTGGCCTGAACTTTGCCCGCTTCTCCTTCATGGTAAACACCTTCTTCCGGTCCTCGTCGAACCGCCGCATAAGCGCCGCCTGCTCCTCCTTGCGCCTCTCGCGGAGCTGGAACCGGTAGAAATCCTTCATGCTCTCCTTCTTCCTGGACTCCTTCTCCAGCATCTTCTGCCGCGCCACCTCGGCCTCGTTCCTCGTCGCCGGCGCCGTGCGGCCCCCGCGCGTCACCGTCACGAACCCGTCCTCGTCTGGCTCGTTGCGCAACCTCTTCGCCATCTCCGCCGCCTCCTTCTCCTTGCGGTTGAACACCGTGAAGAACGCGTGCACCGCCTTTTGCGTGCCCGTCTTGTCGCACCGCGACACCTGGAGGTGGGACGTCATCCACGCGGCGCCGAGCCCGGGTGCCTCCCCCGGCACGCCGGCGCCCCAGACGGGGTACTTGGTGGTTTTCCTGGCCCTGGCGATGGCTTTCAGCGCCAGGTCGACACTCTTCTCGTCCGCCATGACCACGATGGCGCTGCTCCCGCTCTTCCGTATCCTCCGGGTCCAGATCTCGGGCAAGAGAGCTGCCTCCTCCTCTCTGGCGTGGTCCTCGGCTTCTTTTTCGTCCCTCTTCCGCTTCTTCCCGAAATTCGCAACCTTGGTGGCTTGCGCGGGGTCGGTCCCCAGTTTCCTCTTGCGGTCGTCCTCGAACGCGATGCTTTCAAAGCGCCCCGGTCCGATTAATGAGGCGAAGAGGCCGCGGAAGTGAGCTTCGGTGCTGTCGGCGGGGACGTTTTTCAAGAAAAGGCTTCGGCCGTCGATGTCTGTAGGAATCTTTGTCACGTTTCGTCGAATGCGCACTTCGTGGACGGCTGGCGTCGGGAAGGACGGAGCGGGAGGCATCTGTATTGGAAGGATGGAGAAGCCCTCCCCAGGGGATGTTGAAGATGACATGGCGGGCGGTTTGTGGTTATGGAGTGTGGTGACGTCTCGTCTATTTCGTTCTTCAGTGAGAGCGAACCCAGTCAACGGGATGTCTGGATGGACTTTTTTTCGGCTTGGCAAGATACAACGCTTATCGTCCCTGGCTTATCGCTCTTATCACAGATTAATGCTTCCCATTGGCTAACCCCTCATTATGTCAGCACGCAGCTTAGAGTTCAAATGCTTACATAATCACAGGGGCGGCGTTTGTCTCCCTGGCGTGGCTCGTCGTCAAACCAACAAACAACCCGACCCCTTACGGTGTCGCATCAAGCTCCGTACGGACGGATGTATGAGTAGAGTATCCAGACCTGCCATCATGATAGACTGCATATGTACATTTATATGTTCATTTATAGTTCGCCTGACATATATCCGTAGATGACTATATTTCAATAGTAATCCTCCCAACCCCTCGGCTCACACAGCTTAGCATGGCATCTCCTTTCTCCTCCTTCGACAGGGCCGTACCCCTATGATCGACCCGCCCACTTCTCACACCAATCGCGCAAGTGCCGCAGTTCCCTACTTCGCAGCTGCTATCCATGGCGTCACTGCCAAACTCCCTCTTCAGGGCCTCCAGCAGGGTCTCTTCCTCCCCGACCCGCACCACTCGACCATCGCGGTTCGCCACCTCGGCCTCGAAAGGGTCGCCGCCCATCTCGGCCTCGAACGCCTCAAAGTGCACCTCCTTCTCGTCCACTCCATGCTTCCCAACCGCCTCGCGCGCCGCTGCCATCATCCGCGACGGTCCGCAGAGGTACAGCTGGCTGTTCCACTTGAGCGCGCCCACGATCTGGTCAATGTCCATCCTTTCCCCCTTGGCCCCGTCGTACAGGTGCAGGGCTGATCCAAGCGCGAAGACCCTGTCCCGGAAAGGCACGTCCTCAGCAGAACGGACGGCGTAATGCAACTCGAGGCTCAAGTGGATAGAGATGTTGTTCTCGATGAGGGCCAGGAAGGCGGTGATGCCGACCCCTCCCGCGACGAAAACGAGGTGGCTTGCTGCACTGGCGTTCGGGACGTCCGTCGTCATGCGGCCGACTTGGATGACGGCTCCTGCCTCCGGCGCGGCATCCTGGCTGTGCAGCCAACGGGACCCGCCTCGCGAGGCCGGTTCGAGTGCCACGGCCAATTCGAACTTGTTAGGGTCGCCCGAGACGATGGAATAGGAGCGCTGAAGGCCGTTGGGGAGACGCAGTCTGACGTGGGTGCCACCGCGTGGAAAGGGCTCCGCCTCCGAATCCGGGGCGACGGCCTCGAGAATGTAAGACGCAATGCGCGGCGTCTGGATCTTGCGATCGATGATACGGAAGTCCCGCCATTTCTCCTTCGGCCCCTTGTCGGCATTGGCATTGGCCTTGGCCTTGGCTTTGGCTTTGGCTTTAGCCGCCCGTGTCCGAAATGCGCCCCGGCTTTCCTCGCCCATGGCCTCTATGGCGGCAAGTTCTTCGTTCATGGCGAGATCGTCCTGGTTTCGGTGCAGGTACTCCTGCACCCGCTCGATGGTCCACTTGGGCCATCGACGTTCGACAAGAGTGACGGCATCGCCGGCCTGGACTGTGCCCTCGCGGAGGACGCGGTAGTACCACCCCGTGCGACTAGTGCGGTACGTCTGCGGGGCGAAGTTTTTGATGTGAAAGCGATGGTTCAGCTTGAAGCACGGTTGCCGGGGCAGGCTGACTTGGACGAGAACCTCGTCGCCAACAGAGAAGACGTCGCCGATGCAAACATTCCGCTCGTTCATGTGACGCATGACAAAGTTCTCGCCGAAACTGCCCCAGCGAAGGCGATCCGCGGCGGCAGGATATTCGGCACGCCAATTCGGATAATGGGAGCAACAGTCTACCATGTTGAATATAACATCAGCCGGAGCGTCCCCGATGCTTTGACACCAGCCGATGGCCAGGAAGTAGTATGTGCATCATATGTGTGCATCTTACAGCCGTGGAGGGCCTTGTCAACCCCGCCATGGAATATCGGGTCGTGCTCGTCATCTTCCAGACCTAGGCGGGTGACTCGGACAGGACCTGAGCGGATCGCTTTTTCGATACCCGACTCGATCTCTAGGCCGGGCATCTTTTTCATTCTGCCCGTCCTGACCTCCAACAAGATGTCGGCAGTACATAGAGATGAGAAATCAATGGGCTCTTCTTGAGCGCCATCTTGAGCAGTTTGCATGGTATCCAATCTCATGAAGCAATGAAGGTCAGTTCGGGCCTGTTGCTGAATAACAACAACCCAGATTCAAGAGGTGAGAGGGGGGAACGATGACTCGATGAGAGACGGAGAGCGGAAAGTGGTGAGGGATTTGTAATACACCCAATCACACAACCCACTGAGTAAGGTGCCGAATACAACTTCTCCCGGGAGGAAGAATCGCTCATGATTGGACCATGACTCGCCGTTCCTGTTTGTAAACACAACTCGAAGGCATAATCATGCATCTTGCATCTTCCTTCGGACCTCGTGGCCTAAGCATCCGTATCTGATACGCACATGCAATCCCTTTCACGATATGTGGCAGATCCATTCATTCTACAAGATGGCTGTGAAGGGGGGTCGCTCTGTTGTCATGTTCTAGCTTATACTCCATAGCTAATAAAAAACATATAGTATTATTATAAAGACTATACGACCCTGTCCTCTCTCTGTCAACCTCGCATAACATGAGTAGGTACTTACAAGATTTCTTTCTGCTCACTTATAGGAAGGCCGCACAATCTCGTGTAATTCCAGAAGCTCAGAGATAAACTTCTTATGGCCATGACCAATGTACATACTTCAGAGCAGCAATGGCTTTCCCTGTTAACTGAATAGCTCGGATGCTCGGCATGGAAATAGAATGTTGGATTCGGACCATGTTACCACCATATATAGTCGCAATATCTATTCTTGTGTCTTGTGAGAACCTCATCACCGCATTAATCATCTAAAATATATCAGTCTTCATAGTTGATATTGGGTTTATTCTTAGGTTCAGAGGTGTCTCTCCATCTCTGAAGGACGTATAGCATGGCTTTGTGTTGGGTGTCCCTTATGAATACTTAATACATAATCTGGCTTTATACAATAGTCAGGAGAATCAGAGTGAATCTGAGCCTTCCCCTAGTGTTTGGCTTACTGTATCGGTGGGATTTCCGCCATAGCCAGCATTTACGCATGCATAAAGTGTGCAAGAAACAGAAAGAATCGTCTTAGAAGAGTTATGGGACATATACGTAGGAAACAGACCCAGACTTCGCCCTTGGCGAACTCCAGAAACGCCTCCGGGGCCGTGGGTCTAAGCTGACGGTCTTGATCTGCCATAAGTGTCAGCATCGTTGGCAGTGGTGAGCGTGACCGTCTCTAGCCAGCGACATGAGAACCTGACACCCAAGACCGAGTCCAAGGCTCCTGCTTTGACGCTGCATTTTGACAAAAGCTCAGTCACTGAGACCATGTCCGAAGCCACAAATGACATGTTTGAAAATCAACTCCCCCTTTTCGGATGATGGAACATCAGATGTGGTAGGCCCTAGGGCACCCCGTTTCAATAGCCTTCCCTCCTATTGCCCCCATCATATACCCTCTTTTCTCGCCATGCTGTCTAACAACACCGGCGATGATGGCTATCATCCAAGATCCGCCCCATCATTAACCCCCATCTATAAAGGCTCCCTGTTCCCCCAGAAGCAATAGCTGTAACAAGTCCACCTACGACTAAAGGCGGCCGATGTCTTGACGCCTTCGCCGACCGACAAGCTCCCATTTTTTGCCTATTGCTGGATAAGATTGTGGCAAGTACTTTGCTTCCAGAGTGCTACTACCATGCATCCCAGCTATGTTCCGTAGTCGTATCGCCGACACTCTCCCCAAGTGTAACAGGGGACATTATGTACCGAGATCGTGTCGTCATGGAGGCGGCGGAAGGCACTTCGTACGCCTGCCGGTTAATGCTTAGTCATCACCTGGGGTTTACTTGAACATAGTTGCCTGAAGAGAAAAGAGTAACCTCGTCAGCATAGCTCCAATGCGTGAAAGTGTAGACAGAGACATAAAATGACGAAAGAGCGAAAAGATCGACAAACCTGGGAATTGGCCCTGCTTCCCATTGAGCTTCCCTGTCCACCACTCATTGTCGTTCTGGGTACGGTTGACAATCTCGATCACGTCTCCTGCTCGGAAGCTAAGATCACCTTCAACCTGCGCGTCGTAGTCATACAGTGCCGCAGCGGTTTCCGGGGCCGGGACGCTGCTTAAGCGGCTAGGCTTTGGCTTGGGAGGAGGCGGCTTAGGTTTGGAAGCGGCCAGGGCAGCCAGTCCGGGACTCACGGCACTGCCCTGGGCGGGTGAGTAGGGTGGCGGAGGGTTGGCGTCGCCGTCGGGTTGCTGTTTCCCAACGGCGCTGTAGGCGGGGAACTTTAACGCCGGGGATGGGGAGACGGCGGGAGGCGGAGTGGCAGCAGAAGTAGTGGCAGCAGTGGAGCTGGAAGGGCCGGCAGTGAGGAGTTTTGTGGCCTTCGGGCCCTCGAGGGCGTTAGGCCGGCCGTACTTGGCAGGACGCTTTTGGCCGGTGGTCTTAAACTTGACGATGGAGAGGGCCTCCGCCCGCTCGACTACGTCACCCCGCTTGCTGTGGAAGGCTTCTTCAATGTCTAAGGTGAGATCGAAGTAGCCAATATCGCAACCCTGCATCTTCTCGTGAAGGGTGTAGAAGACGTTGAGCTGCATGTAGTAGAAGGACTGGAAGAGGGGTCGGATGAACTCTTGTTCGAGGGCGAAGAGTTTGGGAAGCTCTTCCTTGAGAAGGTCGTTAAAGTAATTGAACTCCTGTGTTGCCGTCTCAACGTCGCCCTCGGCCTTCCAGATAGCCTTCTCGTCCTTCGCGTTGCGCTCCTTCTTTTCCTGCAACTTCTTGAGTGTAGCGCGACGACGGTCATAATCCAGCCTCTTGTGTTCGCGCTTGAGAGAGGTTTTACGGATGGCCTTGATGACGTCGAGGAGCTCGGTAGCTGGACGAATCACCCTATTCTCGATCATCTCGAGCTCCGGCGCTAAGGTTTCCTGCAGATCTTTGACCACAGCTTCGTATTCCTCACAGGCACGAATGCCCTCTGGGTTTCCCTCAATTTTCATGCTATCAGGATCGGACACGCGGCCCGAAATTGGCTTGTAGATCTCTTGAATGGCTTTGCTGAACTCGAGCTGGTGTTGCAGCATGGCGTTGATGGCATCAAAGTATTTTTTCGACTCGTCGTGCAGCTTCTTTGTCTCGGTCTCGAGCTCGACGAAACGGCGCTCCGCATCAATGTAGACTGCATCTTTGGTGTGCTCGCCAATGTTGAAGCGCGACTTCAATTGTTGAGGGGCCTGTACATAGCAGCAAAGCAAGCAATGCAAGTGTCAGCATTTCCTCGACCTCGCATCCGTCCTCCAGGGGTGATCTTTCTGATGCCATGTTTTGCGACCCGGGCCTCAGTGAGTCGAACAGACCCGCGTGGGCTGCTTCATCTCGTCACGTTGCGACTGACGCTCCGTCGAGAGATCAGGCGGGTCGGAGCCGCTCCATGTGCCGGCGAGGAAGCTTGACATACCCTGCTCAGGCTCTTTTGCAAGCCACGAAAGCTCATTCTTGAGAGTATTATTACGCAGCGCTAAAATGGTGTGCGAGGACAAAACGTGCCACGAGTGACAGAAACGAAAGGTCCGAAGAGGCTGTTCTCAGATAGCGGTCGTAGGTAGGCTTGGAAGGTTGGTGGGGTCGAGATTGAATGGTGACGGAAGATTGGGTGCGGCAACCCACAGTGTGAGGGAGGGAGGGTATTGCGACCTTAATAAGGCTGATGAAAGAGGCGTAGCGATGTAGTCATGGTACATGTGGAGGCATTTAAGTCGGATGCCACAATGCCACAACAAATGGGTAGGCAGGTACCAGTGTAGCGTGCGAGTTGGACCTGACAGAGGCGTCTTCCTTACTAATTAATGGTCTTATTGCCCTCGTTCGCACTGGTGGAGAACCCCTTGGTGACGACTGCACAGTGGCTGAGTTGCATGCTTGATGGCTTGGCGTACTTTGGGATTTTGTTGCACACGATTGAGCGTACAATACCGTGTCGCCAGATCCGTCCGTCGAAGTGGTTAGGAGTACTTCCACTCTTGTACATCTGCGGACAGAACAAATTGGGAATCAGTGTTGTAACAGAGGGAATCACGTCGACTAAGGTACGTCAGGGCGGGAAAGCCCGTTATACGCCATTCTAATCTTACTCAGTTCTATCGTCTGGATAAGGTCAGTTTTATTAACACAAGACTGGTGGTGTTGGCTGATCTACATAACGCAGCCGTGACATGTTCAGCTCAACGTACACGGTAGTTCGTACTTGGATATCGAGAAGATATTGGAACAGTGCTCACGGATTCATGAAGTCTGAAGCCTGGTGACTGACACTCCAACCCAAGCACCTGACGACGTCATCCTGATACGTACCTCCAAGCTTTCTCCGAAGCCGAACGATCCGTCCCCAGCTTATATAATCAGCGATCTGAGGGAAACGGCATGTCGTGACCTGTGTACCTTATGTATCAACGAATCAATCCACGGGATCTTATCCCCGAGCCGGAAAGAAAGCGGAGGCCGAGTTTAAGCCTTAGGTAATTTGCTGAAAATACCGAGCTAGTTCCAATACATATCGCCGAGACTCACTTTTTTCTTCGCCTCTTCCCCCTCTCCGAAGCTTGTCTCCTCCGACCATACCTGTCCTCTGCCCATTTATTTCCATCGCTACCGCCCATCATGACAAGTCTTTCATCGTCGGCGCTGAGGCAGGCGGGCCGTCTCTGTCGCAGGACGGCCGCTACGGGAACACTTATTTCGACAACAGCAAGGGTGGCGAACGCACCTCTGCAACAAGTTGCTCAACGGCGATACGTTTCAGAGTCGAGACAGGATAATGCTCAAGTCAAAGTCGACACAGCCATAAAGCTGAACAAGGACGACTTCATCAACGTCGCCGCTCAGTCCCCAGATGGCTCCAACATGATGGTCAGCCCGATGGCTGAAGTCCTCAAACAGGCAACGACCATGGAAGAGGGCCAGCGGCCCATCTATCTTGATATGCAGGCTACGACGCCGGTAGATCCGCGTGTCCTAGATGCTATGCTTCCCTTCTACACTGGCCTATACGGCAATCCCCATTCGAGGACACACGCGTACGGGTGGGAAAGCGAGAAGGCTGTCGAGGAAGCCCGTGAGCATATCGCCAGGCTGATCGGGGCGGATCCGAAAGAAATCATCTTCACAAGCGGCGCGACCGAGAGCAACAACATGAGCATCAAGGGCGTGGCGAGATTCTTTGGACGCTCAGGCAAGAAGAAGCACATCATCACCACGCAGACCGAGCACAAGTGCGTCCTCGATAGCTGCCGACATTTACAGGATGACGGTTTCGAGGTCACATACCTGCCTGTCCAGCAGAGCGGCAGGATCGACATGGCCGAGCTGGAGGCGGCCATCAAGCCGGAGACGGCGCTTGTCAGCGTCATGACTGTCAACAACGAAATCGGCGTCATACAACCCATCGAGGAGATCGGTAAGCTATGCCGCAGCAAGAAGGTCTTTTTCCATACCGATGCCGCCCAAGCTGTCGGCAAGATCCCCTTGGACGTCAATGCTATGAACATCGACTTGATGTCCATTTCTTCCCATAAGATCTACGGACCCAAGGGCATTGGGGCCTGCTACGTCCGGCGGCGACCTCGTGTTCGCCTGGATCCTCTCATCACTGGTGGCGGTCAAGAGAGAGGTCTCCGAAGCGGCACGCTGGCGCCGGCCCTGGCCGCCGGCTTCGGCGAGGCGTGCCGCATCGCCTACGAGGATATGGAGGTATGTCACTTTTCCAGCCTTGCCACTTTCACACTTTCGTCCCCCCCAGCTCTTTTTATGATGATCTGCTCTATTATACATGCATGGCTTTCTGAATGTCCCGTGACAAGGACATTTGTTGTAACAAAGCACCCAGTCTGAAAAATATTTTCTCTCTCTCACGTCTCGTCAGATTGTTTATTCATCTTCTTGGAAGAGAGTTCGAAAGCTGACCTGACTCCCAGTATGATGCGAAGCGTGTCAAAAAGCTCTCGGATCGACTCCTGAAGGGCCTTCTCTCCCTCGAGCATACAACGCAGAACGGTGATCCCGAGCATTTCTACCCCGGTTGCGTCAACGTCTCGTTTGCTTATGTTGAGGGTGAATCCCTCCTCATGGCCCTCAAGGACATTGCCCTCTCGTCTGGCAGTGCCTGCACGTCCGCATCGCTCGAACCTAGCTACGTCCTAAGGGCGCTCGGAAATAGCGATGAAAGCGCGCATAGCAGCATTCGGTTTGGCATCGGTCGGTTCACTACCGAAGCCGAGATCGACTATGTGCTGAAGGCCGTGAAGGAGCGGGTCGACTTCCTCCGCGAGCTGAGCCCTCTGTGGGAGCTCGTCCAGGACGGCGTTGACCTCAGCACGATTCAGTGGAGCCAGCATTAAACAGTGCCATCGAGTCGCCAAAAGCGCTGAGCAATGGACTGGCTTTCCCCAATCATCACGGCAATATCCGATCTGATCCTTCTGTAGCAACATGCAAGTTTCGACTTGGCTAAGAGTCGTAACAGTTCTTTTCGATATGTTTTTATCATTCTTTCTTTTACGGGGTTTTGGAGTTCAGGAAAGCGGGTTCAAAGGTGTTCGCGACCAGAGAGGCAGCGGCACAGACATGTAAATGGAAAATTCAGTCGTGGAAATGATGAAGCGGATGAGGAAGTGTAAAGAAAAAATACACGGACAGACTGTGGCTGTATTCATACATCTAAGCACCACTTAATTGCCAGAACAAATTGAGATGCGCCGACTGGCATTCAGCGGTAATCATGGACATGAGCGGAGCGGAGAGTCGCATTGCATTGAGACGAGCCACCACGCCTCGTCTCTCGTCTCTAGGTGCCTGGTAGTTATTTCGCAGTTGATTGAGACGGGTCTCGGCGGAAGTGGTTTAGGTTATGTCGTGGGAGTCGCATGCAAGCAACAGTGAACCCGGAAGCCTCAAATGGCGTTCCTGGGTCCTTCTTCATGTAAGGGACCCTGATGAGCGGGAAACATACGGTTTCGGCTTGGTTCGGGACTTGATCCCTTTGTACAGTGTACAATGCAGGCCGAGCTCGGCGGGTGTAGCTGAGATGATGTCATCGCAGCTGCCCTGCCCACCTTAATTATGCCGTACGTCGATCCGTAAGGTAGGACGGAGACACGAGTACTCCGTACATATAGGGTAGTAGCTTCTCCAGAACAATGACACCACACAAGGATGGAGCAACCAACACGATAGCGGCTAAGAACGGACCCGCCTTCCAAGAGAGTTACGTAGGTGTTTTCAGACGGCAGCGTAGAATAGAATATATAAAGAGGACCTCTCGACCTTCCGAGTTTTGAATTACCTACAGAGTATCCAACCAGACCATCTCAACAGCAAGAAAAAAATACCGACAACCCTTTAACCTATTAATACTTTCATCGCATCGTACCTACACACAATGGCCAACGAGAACAAGGACACCACTTCCACCCTCCAGTCGTACATCGACTCGGCCACTGGCGCCGCCCAGAACCTCGTGGGTAGCCTGACCGGCAACACTGGCGATCAGAACAAGGGCGAAATCAAGAAGGAACAGGCCCAAGCGGAATACGACGCTTCGCACGCCACGGCCAAACTCCCTGGGTTCGCTGCCTCTTCCTCGGGCGCCGTGACCAAGGATGACCCGGACCGTAGCAGCGGTGGATGGAACCAGACGATGGGCGCGGCCAAGGAGACCGTTGGCGGTCTTGTAGGCTCGGCGGTAAGCACTCAAACACGATTCCTTTCTTTCCGTTCGAGTCAAAACTAACTGGGTCTTCTCAGGAGCTCAAGGAGCAGGGCCGGCAACAGAACCGCGAAGGGCAACAACAGGAGGCCCGAGGCCAGATCAACGACTTGACCTCTGGCATGGGCAACCGGATCCAGGGAGCAGTCGGCGGCGCCGTTGCCAGCCTGACGGGCGACGAGAGCGGGCAGCAACACTACGAAAACCTGCACGATGTTGGAAAGACGCAGCAGCGAGGTGCTGAGCACGATATTCAGAAGCAGGCCGAGGCTGGTCAATAGACATGAGATCTTCGGAACAGCAAGCGGCAAGGATGATGAGCAGAGGAAGCGAAAGAATTGCCGCGGTGCGTGACTTTTGGCGTTGCTTAACCTGATACCCTGGGTGGAAATAAATGAGAGGGGCGATGGAGCATACCTAACGAATTTTTAGGAGGTCGGGATCGCTTTATTTTCCATCCACCACTTACCTAGAGAATTCAAACGCGTTTTAATCCTACTTGGCAATCAGTGCTCCCAATGTTCGAAGTCTCGAAGACTTTGGTTGAGGCATTCCGGTATGTGCTGTTCTTGTGCTGGTAAAGAGACGGAACAGATATTCATATGGATATCCGTACGGTAATTACCTGCTACGGTTATTCACAGAGGTCCTCCAAATCGTCTTCCAAGTGGCTGCAACATGCATCGATTTACCCACCCACCATTTCGTGACAGAACGAAATCGAACCCATGAAATCGACTCTCCTCCCACCAACAACTCATATGACTTCATTATCCTGCCCTCCACCACCAGTGTCGCCCAATAACTTACCAGTGGAGGAAAAAAAAAATCAAGTTTTGCGTTGTGGGAAGTTGTGGTTCGGCTCGAGGTACGAGATCCGTAGGGCAATTCGCATATTCAGGGACAGAACGGATCGCGACCCCTCACCCCAGCCTCCTTTTATTGTCTGTCCGTTTTCTGGAACCACCGAGACGGAGGTAGAACGAGGGAACGAGGCAACGAGGCCAGGCTTAATTAAGAAGGCCGAAGAAACCGTTCGTCGACAGGTTCAGGCTTGTCCTGCAGGAACAGGGGCTTATCTGGAGCCCCAAGCCCTGACCTCTGTCAGTTAAAATGACGACGGAAACTGACGAAAAGAAGCACTGAATAGGTCATGGGAAAGTGTCTTATCACTCACGTCAAGCACCAAGTAATAGTGGGTTAAAAATGTAGTGCATGTCGCACCGTTCACCGGGCTTTGCAAACCCGCCCCCCTTCGTTTCCGTCATGGGTGTAACTCTGCGCACCACCGTTATAGTTATAATATTCGTGCTTGACCGCCTGCCCAAGTAAGATTGGCTAGCCCTCCCACACCTTTCCCCCCATATTGCTTTCCGTTCCGAAACACCAAACAACTTCGTCCTCCCACCACAGTCCCCTCGTGATATCATCCCTCGGCCCGCGTAGCCCTAACCCGCTAGCAGCACGTTTTATCATCTTCACCT